TGTATCGAAATATCATCACTATACGAAATTTGTATTGATTCAATATAGTGTGCATCTGTCAAGAATAGACAGAAAAAGAAAACAGTAATATTTATAAAAAAGTTCCTGCTTTGTTTCTAAGTAAGAACGTGATGTTTTTCATTTTTTTTACTACTCTCGAAGAAGTACAAGGAAAAAGAATGTTTAGAAAATCCTTCTCATCAATCCTCTGAGAGCTTGAAAAGATGGAATATTTCACTATATTATCTATTCGAAACTGGTAAAATATGAGAGTTTGAATAAATTGAAAATGAAAACAGCGAGCGATCTGATATTCTCATCAGTGCAAAACAAACTTTAACTCTTACATACTATAATAACAAAATTAATCGGTTGATTCAGGAAAATTTTTGGTCAATTCTCAGCACATCAAAGTATATATTTTATTTCATTACATTTCTTTTCATTAATTTTTACTCATTTTCTTGGTCTAGATTGCGAAGAAGTTCCTGACATTTATTTATTCTTTTCAGTTCTTCTCATGGAATAGATAATACAAAGCTCATGTTTCTTGCGCGAATACACGATTAAAAACGCTTTAATCTTTCCAAAACAGGCATCTAAATTAGTATTAGAGAAATTTTAAAGAACTTTAATGAAAGAAAAAAGACAGCTGATTTGAATTGTTTGGTATTGTCATCGAATTGCTTACTTTTTTTGCCAGAAAAGTTCTGAATAAAGTAAAATGTATCTTATATATTTTCTGTTCGCTTTGAAGACTTTGAGAAGGATCCAGGAAAAACTATAATCTTTTGATTTTTGATAGATTTTGAATGAATCAGTTCTTTCTTTCTTATTCATATAAACTTGATTTTTGTATTTCTCTTTTTTACCAAAATAGTGTCCAGTGTTTGCATCCAAGGCGATATATGAGTGATCTAAGAACGAAAACATTGTTGGGTGCTGTATCGTTTGATTATTCAACATTTCCAATCGTCTTATACTGCATGCATGATATTAATGAACTCGACGACGATCATCTGGAAAATGAGATCATATGTTTTCCAACTATTGGATTGTTTGACTTTTTTATTTTTGATCTTTTACTATTACTCGTTATACCTACCGATTTGTCGATTACGACAAGAGCATGTATAGCATTCGGCTGCATGGTTTGTCTACAAATTGGTGATCTATTTACTACTTTTATGCTTGACTATGTTGATAATGATATGCCGGCTATATCGTTTCCAACGGTTACTGTCACTGCATACGCGATCGTCATCGATGCCATAATTCAATATTCCAATGCTGGCTGTGAAGATATATATTGAAATGAAAGAAAAACCATTATAATGACTTTTGCTACTATAAACTGATCAATCTATCTGTGTGTTTTTTCAATATTAATCATTAAACTAGAAATCATATTGTCTTATACTTTGTGATATATTCTATAAATTTGTGTACTAAATTTTATTTCAATCTTCAATTTTTATTTTGTTACATATTTTTTCAATGGTGTAAACAGTCAATATCAATAGTAAATTTAGTATTTTCTTCAAATATTTCGTTGATTGATTGAAAATTTTCAACGATAATACTTTGATTTGATTCAGTAGATGTACATACTTCGTGATTACTTGAAACAAGTAGAATTGCACTAAAAAAACGGATCATTATCATTCAACTCTGAAGAAAAAGCATGCAATATTATTACGTAGCATCTGTAGCTCCAATAAGTAAAAGAGCTAGACTAGCATAACAAAACGAAAGACATTTTATTTCACTCATATTTGAATAAAATTGTGCATAAATTTATATAGTCGAACCACAATAATCATTTTTCTCTTTGAATATGCAACGCTAGTTTCTATCATACTTGTTCACTAAAACTTTTACTTTACATATGATTAATCCTCTACAAAAACACGGGTATCGTTCTGTTTAACGACGAAAATCTTATATATTCCTAAGAGAACTCGAATTTATTATGCGAGCAAAATGAAAACAGTCAAGAGTAATCATTGGTAATCAAAATTCAACTTTTTCACCTTGATATAAATGATAAATCACAATTTCATGTAGTTTTTATTTCAACAATGAATATCAAAAACAAACATGAATTTAAAGTACTAACAGTTACGATGAAGAATTTTCTTTTATCTCGATGAAACTTCACAGACAATATTGAAAAAATTGATTCATGGAATCGACGATAATACTGTATGCCGTGACAAGGATTATTGGAAAAGGCAGAGCTGGTAAACAATTAGAAAAACCTGATTCGAGCATGAAATTGGTACACAGTTCGCCAGCATGTACGCTGATCATACAACCCAATGCTATGCATGCTCTTGTCGTAATCGAAGCATTCGAAGGTATAACGAGTAACAATGAAAGATCAAAGAAAAAAAAGTCAAGCAATCCAATAACAGGAAAAGGCTTGTCCTCATTTTTCACATCATCATCATCATCGAGTTCATTGATATCATACACACAATACAAACCGTGTGGAACCGTTGGATAATCATACGACACAGCATCTACTAGTGCTTCCGTTATTGAATTGTTCGTGTGCCATTCTGGATGCAAACATGTAACACTATTTTGACAACAGAAAAATATAAAAGTCAATTTGTATGAATGAAAAGAAATGATTCATTGAAAAGATTTCAAAAATTAAATTATTATAGTTTTCCGAGAATCCTTCTCAAAGTCTCTCGGAACAAACAGAAAATGTATAAGATACATTACACTATGTTTAGAACTCTTCTGGCAGAAAAGCAATTATTTTTGGAACATACTTTTCTCTTGCACTTTTTGACAATAATAAAACACAAAAAAAAAGCATACTTATATAGGAACTGAGCAAAGTTAAATTATCGATTCATCGACTGAATTTAGCGTAACGATATCTTAATGTTTCTATATGATGTCCACACAACACTTTAGTATAGCTACTATATAACACGCTCATTATATAAAAATAATCAAATATGTATAACTGTATTCAAACGAAAAATATTTTGACACAAATAAAAAATATTTTAAGATCAAAGATTACAGAAAATTCTCAATTACGTTTCAAACAGTTTGCATAATATGTTAGCAAATGAATACTTCTATAGATTATGCTCTAATGCCTAACATTTGTATTCAAATATGAGTATTCTTAGACATCAAGTGAGATGTTATTTCTTCAATGGTTACTACCCGGCAGTATCTGTCTTTATTTGGTCTACAATGTTATGGTGAAAAGGATGTTTCATCCACTTCGCAAACAAAAATCATTTATAAAGGCTCACATATCTACAGCACATGCCAACCACAGTAAAGCAAAATTAACATATGTAGGTACAAATCGTAATACAATATCATACATAATAAATGCCAAAAATGCCATATATAAACAAGATGCTTTTTGATGAAGAGTAAAAGAAAAATACGGTAGATCCTGATTCAGCCATTTATAGATAAGATAAACAAATTGCCAAACAACCCAATAAACAGTAAATATATCTACTTCATACCGTATATAAATAGAATTGCAGTAACGAGCCAAAAGCCATGTAGTGATGATCATCAGTGACGAAATGACAATGATATTTTGTAGATGTCGAGTAGAACACAGCATCAAGATGCTTAGAAAAGCGAGCACCGGAATCATTAGAATTTGATTGTATATATCATCGGAGTTAATATAATAGCTGCACGCTTCATGACCTGAAAAATGCACAAGTTGTAAATAGACTACAGTTATGAATACATACTAGTAGAATAGTGCCACCAACAGTACATAACCAATACATGATCACGTATTGGATCTGCAATCATATGTTGCAATAAGGAATTACTTGCTCTGGTATCTTTTAAAGCACAATAGAATATAAATGTCATGAACATACTCAAAATAGTGCTTATAGACAGGTACACTTGTTTCTTCATTTCTATAGCAACTTTTATAATAATATATAAAACACAAATTGTTGAATTACTTGTGTATCTGTTCGAGTAAATTTAATGTGAAATGCGTCGATGATATGAATGCTAATTTTTGACAATTTTGTGCAACACAATGGTTGTCGTCAATGCACTCACTCAATATATATAGTTGAACAGAGAGAGAGTATAAAGCAGCTATGATTATAACCATTTGACCCATCATGATGAATTCTTTTCCTTCTTCTATGATATAGAGAAAAGAAATCGACGATTTTTTGATTTTTTCGATGGGTGTCCTGACGACAGACCATGACATAGCGATAGACATGACGTCAGTTTAAACATTCTGACTAGCAGAGTGGCACGCGTATATCTACTAGGCGAATTGAGACGCGTCGAAGACAAGCAACTTGACTAGTGTGAAATGTCTTCAATGGTGGTCAGGACTAGTCTAATGCGTCATCTATGCAAGTCAAGCCTAGTCCACTTTTTTGAGAATGTTATGTCAATTCTTGTCCACACTAGTCTAAAAATTCCAGATCATTTATTTTGCTTGGACTAAACTGTGCTGCTACTTCGTTGAAACTGCTCCATGATGAGCAGAAAAAGAAGTAGAATGCAAGGCAAGGAATTTTTTTAATATCTATATTATGGTTAAAAATAACCGATGAATAATTGGACACATTCACAATATGCATCAGATATGAGAATGAGAAACATTTGGCCACTTATCTTCTATTAACAACTTCATGATTGTTGGTTAAGTATGATTTCTCATATTATGATTACGACAAATTAATTGCAATTATTCAATTTTTATTAATACATATGTAGACTCTCACCTGCGTCGTTGATTTCTTTTTGAATTAGAGTGGCGATTAGAAAGTCCTCCAGAACCATTACTGAAGTGAAGGATAGAAAGAATGTTCTGTATATCCATATTTTAATATAACTCATCATTTTTTATAGTTTCGTTTATAAAAAAATTTAAAAGTATATTGAAACATAAAATAGTAGAAATACAAAATATAATGTTTATCTCGCAGGGAGAAGTTCCAATTTACGTAGTTTAAAATTTATTAAGTGTGGAAAATAAATTAAAATTAATTTAATTTGAAGATAGTTTGAATAGTTTGCGCCCAATTTTACTTTATGTCATTTTATTTAAAATATAAATTTTGACGATTTAAATTTAAGAATACTATTTAAAAACGACACTAATTTAGTTTAGTTTTAAGTTTTGAAATGTGCAATTTAAATTTAAACTTAAATTATAATATTAAAAAATTTAGTTTTTTTTCATTTTAAATAATTTTTAATTTTTTTGCCATTTAATTTTTTTTTAATATAATTAACTGTTTCTAGTTGATAATAATCAGAAGAAATTCTTCTGAAAAATTTATTAAAAAATTGAAACTTATTTCGTTCAACATTGTCTAAATAATTTTATATCCTCTAACAAATAATTTTTTATTGAAATGATAGCTTGAAAAACTTTAAAATTGTATTACATAGCATCTTAGAATGACTATAAACATGTAGAAGTTGATCGCTTGATCATATGGTTCAATTGTCTAAACGATGGGTAAGTATCATATTGTATGCATGTTCGAATCTAACCTTCATCCTTACATATTTTAATTTAGACTCGTCTGGACCCGTCCACTACATAAGAGTACAACTCCTCCCACGCACCGTCCGTGACTTCCTTACTTTTTCAATATTCAACCGCTTTCGGACGGGAGTCAGGTCGTCCCGCCCTGACGAGTCTTTCTCAAAGAAAAGACTAGACTAGGCACGTATAATTTCGCCCGTCAATCATGTGATTTAGACGGGGCTTGATGACGGCCAAAATTCCGGACTAGTCATGTTACAGTCGAATTTGAGAAAAAGACCGGGCATGACGCGTCGACATGACTAGAAAAAAGACGAGTCATTTAGCCGGTCTTTTGCTCACTTGGGAAGGCTTTTTTCTTGAAGATGTACTTGTGCTTGTACCACCGGCTTCTAAATCATAACTACCACGATCGTTGTGGTTCGTCATATCTAAAAATAAATATTTAAATAAAAAATGAATTTTCTTCCAGATTACAACAATAATTTGTGTTAAAACGTTTCTTCTACATAAGTAAAGTTGTAAGAGGAGGGTGAAGGTGGTGACGAATATACATTAAGAAATAGAAATAAACAACAGAAACACTTTCCTCTTTACATTTTATTTCATTTACTGACGACTGATATTGGCATGTGATTTCACGCTTTTCTTTTATTTAGTCTTATATTTCTCTATAGCTATGAATATATATGAAATCAAATTGTTATGATGGCCGCAGTCAATATATCGAAATATTCATTTTTTTTTTATTCGTTCTGTGCACCGCAATCAAAGACGTCGTGCATGAGCTGCACGTAGCTTATAAACAACAGATATATATATATATATATATGAATGTAAATAATTATTTAATAAAAAGTAAAAGAACTTGATTTTTTTCGCTCATTTTTGAAGATGATCGAGGTTAAACAACGTATTTGTATAACTGGTAATAATTGTGAAATAAAAATCTATGAAAATAAATTAAAAATAATTTAATAAAGCAATGAATATATCGATTATTAATAAATATGTATACTTAACAACATATTGTTATCTGCTAGTCGTTATCAAAATATTATTTTAGATGGTTACAATGAATATATTAGATTATCGAGTGAACAAGAGGAATTTTGTGCACATTGCTTTTCTATTTGTACCGAAAGAAAATATTAAAATTCAATTTATACTAAAAAAATTTAACATTTATAGAGCAATCATTCAAATTGATTTCAAGCAACAGCAACACAAGTTGTTTAAAATAGTGCTATTGGTGCTAAATGATTGTATTATAAGATATCATACACCATAAAGGGCACCTATACTTATGTATTATTAAGTGATCTTTATATCTTTGAGTGTATCCAATATTTTATTCTAAATTTTTTGATATCGTATTTGATCTAGGTTTATTTTCTATTTTAGTATTTACAATCAAGCTTTTGGAAAGAAATCCATAGTAGAACTTTGCTTGCTAGTTTTTGGATCAATGTAAACATCAGTCAGTTTCGATTCTAAATCAGTGACGAGTTGGTGAAATTGTGGTTGACGTGTTTGCATTTGATTAGAAATCGTACTTGTATTCATCTTTTCATTGAAGAATATTATATACAATACCCTTTGACACCTTGTACTACCCACATAATTTGCGTTGCGATAGTCCAGTGCCATCAGCATAGTCGTTGATCAATGCGATCTTCTCATCGAGCGTGAGCTAATGATATATTGTCATTTATTAATGATATTGAAGAGTAATGTCAAATAACATGACAATTTATACTCTTGTTCTCATTGATAGAATAGTGAAAAATGTATCGACGAGTAATTTTCTTTTTTTACATCGGACTAACTTTTCTCTCTCTCTCTCTCTCTCTTTCTTCGAACAATAAAGCACGACGAGCAAAAGAACAATGTTGAAGAAAATATTCATTATATCTGCCCATGTAAGAGAGGTGTAAAAGTACAGTATGGACTAAAAGTCAGTGCCCATGGGCAGAGGTTGGAGGTGCCCTTCTTAGAGAGGTTCATTTACAGCAAAAATCGATCTGTCGTTCCGACGTGTGCCCATATATAGAGGTTTCACTGTATTTTCATCATGCTCCACACTCACCTTCAGGTGAGATGCGAAAACACTAAGGATGATAGCCTCTAAGACCATTCTCATATTTTGATATTCAAAGTACAACATTGACATCCCAAGGAAAAGTACGACGTTTACCACTGCAGTAACCATGATTTGTTTCTTTCACATTACTCAGCGATAATCTTATAGTTGTGAAGTTTTTTGAGTATATACTACCATATGAATTCTATATATAGACACATTCATAATCACTTTTCGGCGTGTTAAGCTCTATAAATGGATTTCATAGCTTGTGAATATGTCAACTGCTTTACAGAATATATACCACAGAGGAAAAAGTGATTCATTTCTCGCTTATAAATTCGTTTTGTGTTCTCTGTCTCTGCCACAACTTTTTTTTTGTTTCTGATAGCTAACATTATTCATCCTTCTGTCGCACAGATTGTCTATGTAAAAACGAAGCTGTTTTAGCGATTCTTATAAAAAAAAAACGGTTATTGTTCCGCAAAAAAAAAGAACTAAATCAGTTGAATATGATGTGCAAAATTCAGTTCCATAGTTGAACAAGACTTAAGCAAGTAGCCGCAAAATGTTTTATCTAAAAGTAAATGAATTTTCAAAAGCTTGAAAAAAATATTTATATTGTATGTATTTTTGGATATATCAGTTACAACAACAATTTCGTAAAATACTGATCAGCGATGCATAGATAATTTTAAGATGAAGTAATAAATTCTGTGGATACGAATTGACTCTCCGGTTCGGAATATTTGAATTAATCAACAATGCCAATGGATCATTTAGTATAAAAAGCATCAAAATGAGATAATTAAGTCTAGTTAACAAAGTGCCATAAAGATTTCAGCTGATTATTTATGAAATAAGATATAAGAAAAATAAAGTAAAGCATCTATAATATATATTATCCCAACATAGAAGATACATAAAATGTTATTTGGTTCATTTTTCAGAAGTAGATTTTGAATTATATCGTTCTCGATAAAAATTAATTATATTTCATTCAATTTGATCTGCTGACGATATCTATACTTCAAGAGTTTTAACGGTAAGTTGCGGTATTGTGTATCCGTTCCTATCATCGTTCGTATTATATAAGTCGAGTACATATGCCCACTTAAGCCATTGATTTTCCTTCGATTGTCTGGATATGTTTTCTCTCTGTTGAATATCTTTTCGTCCCAATTCTCGTCTACGGGCAAGAGGAACTCGATAGAGCCAAATGAGCATGATCATGTGCATGATAATATAGAGACTAAAACAGACAATAAATACACAACGATCTATCCAAGAATTACGATCAATTGCAGTTGTTCCTGAGAGACGATTGTTAAAGTAAATTATCGTGCCAATAATCGCATGCCACACCGACAGAGAAACAAGTATAAAAATTGAGATGATGGCATATTTATCCAATGATGTTAAATATGATATTGTTGGCTAGAATATAAACATTTAAAATCGAATATATTTCGAAAGATAAAAATGTTAACATTTTAGACATTATAATTTTTCAATGTAGAAAAAATTAAAACATTTTCATTTACAAAAAAAAATGTTATTTTTTGGACTTTTTTACGAGCTAAAACTAATTGTGTTTCAAAAACATAATTTTTACTTACAAGAGATCGATTTACTGTCCAACGAAAAGTGATTGAAGTTAGAAGTAAAGTAGCTCCAATAGCAAGACGATTTGGTGTGAGACTAAATGAATCATAAAAGACATAAGTGTGCCAATCGTAATTCATACTTAGCTGGTATTGAAAAGACACAAAAGCCAAAAATAGTAATAAGAAAAATCAAGCAGTAACCATTCCAATAAAAATAACCAGAACGACGTGCTAGAAAATATATTAACTCAAAGCATTGGCTAGTTATAAGTATTAAATAGAATGCTAACCTACATGACATGATACAGACACAAGTGAACGTTTACGTCCTTCATTTGAATTTATGTCACCATTTTCATCGTCATCAATAGTTTCAAAAGATTCTCGAATAAAACGTTGTTGTACATTTATATGTTCATATAATGTCCATTCTTGTTGGTCGACGAATGCTTCACGATTTACTCCACTATGATAATATGGATCCGGCATTAGTAATACTCTATCATTATAGAACATTGAACCAACAGAAATTGATAATTCTTGAATATCAGATGGAAAATGATTCAATTCAAGTTTTTCCCAAAAAAGTCCTTTAATATCACGATGTTCACATATACAGGCTTGATAATCCGATGTTTTTCTTGCAGTATATCTTATTTGTTCTTTCAGATCACCTAGAGTATTTTCGATGAACAATTGAGGATGCCAATTTGTTTCGGTATATGTACTAAGAGACACAGATTTTCCACGATTCAAAGTATCTTGATCAAGAGGCGAAAGAGTTGAAAAGAAATTACATGATGGAACCACCCAACGAGCTTCGATTGATGCTTGTGCTTGATATTTCTCATTTAATGTATCAATTTCACCTGATAAGAAAAGAGAATAGATCAATGAAAAGTAATATCTTGTATTTATTTTCGATCAGAAATACAAAATTGAACAAAACAATAGGAATCGTGATCAGATTGACGAAATAATATCAAAATTTAGTTCTCCAATCAGAATTTTCTGCGCGAATACTTAATCTGAGTACAAACTTCTGAATATTCAATGGCTTGCATCAAATCTTTAATGAATTTTTATGTTGTTCTGCTCACTTTTATCAGTAATATCGATTGATTATCGAGTAGAAGTTTGTTTAATGCATTGTCGTCACAAAAACAATGAGACATTAGAAACTGATAATTATAGGTAATGACTCAATACGATGCATTAATACATTCACAACCATATCAACTGATTAATCATATCTATATCCTAATCACTTTAGTGCTGATATGACAGTCTTTTTATTCATTGCTACTAACTATTGAGTACTATTAGCTTTTTTTCTTATCTCTTGGTATTTATTGGTGAACCAAATATCTCATAGAATTACAACTTTGTACCGTTTTTTTTTACATTTATTAACAGCTTATCAGATACAAATGTTTATAATTAACTTTATATTTAATCTGATTGCCAAATTATATTCTCTTTATTATTTCTGATATCTACGCGAAACATATCCTATAAACAATTGGAAAAATATTGTTAAGTTTACGATAAACTACAGTACTAATTGATCATTCAATTTTGTCTTGATAATGTAATTTTATGTGAAAGTCAGTAGTTAAAATATGATAAGTGTACTAAGTCTCTCTCGTAATTCCTCAACTCACTGGTTGCTGATTATGAAAATCATTAAATTTAATCGAAATTCTTATAATTAGTATATCATTCGTGACGAATACCACATGACACTATACTCAATCACATTTAATTGGTTCAAAATCTGGTTTAGTCTTACTAATTATATGTGATAAAGATGATCTTTAATCAGATACTCACCAATACGATTAAACATGAGACGAATGCCAACAAGAACCTGATTTCGGTTCGTAGTTTCTTCTTCATTGATAGGTTGTAATGAATACATTGGTTATGACGTAAGCGATATTGTTCACGCTATCAGAAATCTGAAAGATATTGTTTTATGCATTTTTGTCTGAAACGTCTAATACAACGATGAGCTTTAATGTCTTGTAGTTATATTCCTATCAAGATTCAGTCTGAAAATATTTAATGATAAAATCTAGATGTGAATGTGTTTGGGTGTCATTGAAGAAAAGATTCACACGCAGATCTAAAAGGTAATAGCTAAGTGCATGTGCGCAGAGATGCATTAATTCTTGCAAAAAGCATATCAACGACGGCCTACCTCCTTTTCGAAAAGGTTGATTTCACATATTATTTCGATTACTTGCGAATCATTGTCAATTTTCTTCGATTTTATGGTATTGATGATTCAATTACGTGATTTTAGGATACATCATCTTCTGGAATTTTCCAATGTTTCCCATGCAAGTAGAAATTATGGAAAATTCCTTTCTAAAGATACTTAGTATGAGATATTGCTAGAAGTAAAAAAAACAATATGAATGACAATTGCATCTCAATGATGACTCCAAACTAAATTCATCTATCATTGCTGAATATTACATTGTAGTGGAATTTTTGGCATGAAATGTTTGCTTAACTCTCGTTGACTTATAAGCTAGTGAAAATAGAATCAAAAGTAAGCAGCTAGAATCAGAATTTCAAGCGTTTTCAAAGTATAGTTTTAGAATATTTATCTGAGTTAAAGTTAGTTCATTCAGAACAAACCTTTGAGATGAAACAAAAGAGTGTGAGTGTCGTTCCTTCTCTCATCTACACTCACACCCATACACGCTGTTTCTTCCTTGAGCGAAATACTCTATATATAGATTTCAATTACGTGTTAATTATACATAATCCTTAATAGATCCTTGAAGCCATTCATTATTGTTTGTGACGGTCTCGGAATTATATTTTTTTGTGGTTTACGATGGGTATAAAATTTTTCTGTCACAGTTTGCAGGGGGAAGAACAGAAGCGAGTGCAAAATTCTACTAATATACACTTAAACACTCTCTTTAGCTCGTATTTCAAAATAACTAAAAATGGGCTCATGTTCGAACATTTTGATGATGAAAATTTTGTTGTTAAATGAAATATATGAGATATTCGAAATCAACATACAAAACTGAATTGAAAAGAAAAAGATTGTGTTACAAAATATTTCTCATCGGAATTCGATCCCTACCTCTGTTAAGGCTTATACAAAGAGATTTTGCACGTTACCCGCTTGAATCGAATTTCGATGAAAAATACATTGTAATACAATCTGTGTTATTCAATACAGTTTTGTATGCTGATTTCGAATATCTCATAAATTTCATTTAACAACAAAATTTCCATTATCAAAATGTCCAAACATGAGTCTATTTTTTAGTACTCTATCAGTGATATAAAACAACTTGATTATTCCAATAATCGATTATTACTTTTTGTTAGAGATACGTAGGGTGTAGATGTAGGTGTGTTATATGTATGTTGGTAATGAGAGGAATAACTTTTTATAGGTACATCCACACCCCATCTAGCTGTATACTTTATTTGAAAAAAAAACTAACAGTGTAAAGGTTAAACTATAAAAACCTCAAATTTCTAATTCAATCACATTTTTTCCTCATGATATTTTAATATGATTAGCAACGTAGTACTTTTTTTTAAAACACAGCATGCCATTTGAATACTTCATTACTGATGTACTACACCAATATTTGTGACTAGATTTTGTCTCTCGCATGAAATGACTATGCACCATTGATTAAAATTGTTAGTCTGTGTCGACTAACCTTCTCCCGGTTCACCTTTATTCAAACTAACTCTAACACTAACTGGAACCAATAACAACCGACCTACATATATATCCTTATAAATCAAAAACAAAAACCTGGACTGAAAGATGTGGATCTTTAACACAAAGATATTTTCACTCGAATTCATACCCACTGGGATATCTATCAGACCTCGAAATAAACCACCAGGTCTGGTGGATTGGCTTGACGTTTTCATTGTTTGTTTTGTACATTATTACTAAGCTATATTCTTGTTTTAAATACTACACATTATCAAAAAAAGCTAGAACAGAAAAAGTATCTGAGTTTGAAATTTGAGTCCAAATGAATTCAAAAAATGGCATTACAGGTGATGAAACAGATATCAATTTCAATGTATTTGAAATTTATTGAATAAAACAGGCCTCCACACCCACCACATACCATATGGTTAATAACAGTAGCTACATCGCATTTTACATTTTAATTCCATAGAAATTATACTAACAGCTTTTTTGCGATTGGAATAACACATGTTTTCCATATCTCTATGATGCTATCCGTATTTCATGAGACAAGCTGTGTTTAGGTTCATTCAGATTTTGTCTCGTTCAACCAATCCTTGGTATCTCAATTATGATTTCATACAACAAATAAATAAAATATGTAATTTATTGGCAAAAAAAAAGAAAGAGAGAGCTGTAGAATATTAAGCAGAGAAATTCGAAGTGAATGAGAAATGCATCAGCTTTAAATGAAAATAGTTGCGATTAAAGTGATGATAGTGATAAGCAAGAAGCATCGAGATAATTTATTTCTAGTACCAATATTCCCAGGTGATACTGTAGAAGTAGTTGTTTGAAGAATATTAATTATAGAACCCATTCCAGGATGATTTGTGCATCCATAATAGTAAATACCAGCATTAATGAAAGTAACAGAAGCATTAGTACCTGCTTGAGTAATTGGAGTACTAAGTTCATTACTACTATTAGCTCCTTGACAGAATTTAGGTATGGAACTGTTTTGGCAGATTGTTAATGGATGAATTGAAACATTTGTGACCAAATTGAATATTAATCGATCACCAACATTTAAAGTCAAATTTGGACTAAGACTATCATTCAAAGCGAAAGTTCGATTGAAGAAAGTTGGATTACCTTGGGGACAAGTTAAATTCTGAACACATGGAACAAAAGTGACAGTATATATTACCACCTTGGCCGAAGCATAAAACAACGAAACAGCAAGCAATAAAATCGATAATAAGTTTGATAAACGAGCCATGTGCACGAATTAGTGTGTATTCAATAAAAAAGAACGAGCTATATATTTAAAATAATGTCACCTGTAGAGAATAAGTGTGTAATTAATTCCTGTCAAAAAAAAGGTGAATAGAAAAATCTTATCCAATCATGCATTTTATACTTATTTACTGTTTTTTTCTTTGGTCTATCAACAAGAAGAAATGTTCTAGATTAATGAATACGAACGATTCTGTATGTTTTGAAATAGGTAAAGGCCACAAAATGAAACAGAAGAAAAGAGAAAAATCGATGCCTGAACTGTATCTTAAAGGCGTCCTAATCATGTAGAAATAAACATTTAGTATTGTTTTCGTTGAAATTAACGTTAAGATTTGCATTAAATAGTATTTTAACGAAAAATATCATTAAATTTTGTTAAATTCCCAGGGTGTGAGTGTGTATACCCTCTTCAACGACACCTACACCCAAATTGTCTTCTATAAAATAAATCAATGTAAAATAAATTGAGATGACTTAGAATTTTTTTCAATATTTCAGTTCAATATACTAATATTAACCTAAAATCGATATCATTCATAAGTAATCATTCTTAAGTCAAAATAAAAAAAACAAACAAGATCTGGTTTTTACAATAAAGAGCATTCTGCGCGTTGTCTATCAATGGCTTTGTAAACTGAGTTTCACACCTGAGAAACGTGACAGCATCTTATCCTGTAGAGAAAAGTCTGCTAAACAATTCCATATTATCAAAACAATTTTCTAACCCAGACTTTCAGAAATTTTTTTTTTTTCGTGTAGATCATGCCCATAACTTGTTTATGCCTAACTGATGATCAATATGATCGTATTATATGTTTAATCATGAACTTACTCTTTTCTTTCAATTTTTTAAACATATATTGAGATTTATCAGTACTACACAATAAACCCATTTCTAGCTTGTACTACGGTATTATGAGAACTATATAAACAACTTACATGAAAACATTATATTTTATGATCATTATGTATAGAATCGCGAAATTACGTATGTAGAAATTTTCAAATATATCCTTGCACTTAGTTTTCAGTTGTGGGTGTGAACTCGGATCCGGGTGACCATTTCTTTTTTCTTCTCTTCACCAGCACACGCACATCCACACTCTAATACATTCTACCTAAAAGAACAAGAGCGAATAACACCATTTTTCTGCTTTCAAAATATTTTAGTTTTTTTTGTTAAAATCCCAATGGCTCCACCCAATAACATTGAAATGGTTTATGTCGCAATGTTGCGTGATGAAGTTTTCGAGTTACACTTGTACTTCTCTACAGGTCAACGAAATCTTCGTTATCTGTATAGGGATATCGGTGTAACTCGAAAAAAAAATGATTCGGAGATGTTGTTGAGATTCAATACTGAATTTATTTGAATACAAAAACCTGAAATGTTTCGGGGGGGGGGGGGCAGAAAAACGGTTTTATCTGGTCTCATTCTTTAGATTGGTTGGTGTTCAGAGTCCAGCAACCTCGAGTATTTTGTCCAGTTCTTGATTTATCGTTCAAATAATTAAGTTTTATTCTCAATAACGAAATCACATCAGAACTGTTGTCCATTAGTCAGGCAAAGATGAAATTTAACAAGGTGCAAAATTTTACTTGAGGGTAAAGTTAGTCAATAAATCTCTTTTTTCTGACATGTAAAATAGAAGAAAAATGAAGTCTATATCACTCATCAACAAAATATCTTATAGCTTGAAAGTTGTTTGATAATATTTCGATAGTGTACTTTCGATTGCAGAGACAATTTTCTTTACTTGTATGAATCCGAATCATCCTAAGGATTGATTTACTATTGGATTTGAAAAATAAATTCAATAGATGATAAAGATCTTCTCAGATCTAATTCAAACACTGATATGTTTGTAGAGAAAATCAAGTTAATTTTGAAATCAAATAGTTGAAAAAGAAGAAAACTTGTGAAATGAAATGATTTACATGTGTTTTACACAGGAGCGTTCTAATTTGAAACAAAATCTTCACATTCGTTTCAATTAGGACCACTATACTGATTTAGAACGACTCTATGTGAGACTGATGCAAATTGATAGAGATGTGTCTCAGCGATGGAAGAACATATTGAGTTGAACCTTTGCAAACATATAGAAAAGAGTGTGAGGAACAAATTTTCTAGCGGATATTTGACTGAATTTTGAAGTTCACAAGTGAGTATAACATGATTTTTCGATATTGCTCGTTCTTCTATGTATTTTTACTTGCGCCTTCTAATTTGGAACATAGACTCTAACAGATTTCACTGCAATTATTGATACTATCATATTAATTGAGTTTCCTGTGAAAAGAAACTCGCTACCACATGGATCTTTTTGTTCAGATTTGTCGTAAGCATACACTTTTCTATTACTAATTTCAGTGTATTCAGGAAAAATTATACAGCAAACACATCCACATACTGGTCAACATGGGAATATTTTTATGATTTTTCTTTCATCTATCTTAATCCCAACATATCGGATTAATAAATTTTATTGACGATATCATGTTCTGTTGTTTTTTTTTGTCTATATGAGACAAGTAGTATGTAAACTTGTAGTCATATTTTTATGTAGTAAATAGGTAAAGATTATTTTTCAGTCGTGATATATATGTCGCCCACTTGCCGTTCTCTTTCTGTTCTCTCTCAGACATATATATATGCTGGTCTCTATTCTATCCTCTCAGTCGTCTCATCCATTTTAAGAATATTTTTCTCATACTAACTAATAGAGGTAAGAAAAAAATTAATTAATAGAAGTTAGAAGGTTCTCGATTGTTTTTCTTTCTCTTCTCTCTCGTATAAATATTCTTTTTCTTTAATAAAAATTTTTTATTCGTGATCTACAACTTAACATCATACTTAACTCATTTTACTGTCTTTTTCAGTCAAGTCTCATCGTTTGTAATAAACAAGACATGTCTGCTTGTCAATACATTGTATTTGCCTGCCTTCTTCTAATATTTTGTAAGCTTCATTTCTTGTCATAAAGAAGTGCAACGTTACCATCGATAATATTTTGAATAATAGATTTGACTCAACCAACAGTTGGCCTGACATGTTATGTATGTGCTCGCTGCAATGATCCATTCAACGCTAGCGCCACGAATGTTATAAAACAGACAGTACCTGACAATCAAGGATATTTTTGCAATGTAAGTCAATATCTATTTTTTTCATTATCTTTCAATAACTTAATGTAACATAGAAAGTGAATCTCTTGGGCTATGTGGTTCGAAATGTAACACAAAACTGTACGGAAAGAGACATCTTAGGTAATGGTGTATGGTGCTGTCAGAAAGATTTATGCAACGATGCCAAAAACATTGTAACAGCAAGTGTCCTTGTCATGGCTCTAGTTCTCGGTTTCGTGATCATACTCTGGTGAAGCAACACTTGAACATCGCTCACTCATTGTCTACATTTCCAGGAATGTTTTTAAACTTGAAAAATTATTTTCTAATCTTTCTTTTTTCAAACCTATTTTAAATAACAATTTTTAAAATAATATTTCTGATAAGGACTTCGTTTCATCTATAGAAAAAGATTAACATGAAACTTGTAACTGCACTGATAAAGGAATCATTTCAATGGTGATAAACTTGTCAATAGTACATTTGAAAATCAAGCTTTGAAACAAACAATTCAAATCAAATTGATAATTGAGAATGTTTCAATCAGCTTGTCTATCGTTAGCTGTTGATAGAGGTTCATTTTCTTTAGTCTCCAATACGTAATCATTCGCTTCCTTTCAGCGGCTGAATTTCGACTGTATAACTATTTGTATCAATTGAAAACACTACAAACTCTTCGATCATTGAAAAGTCATACCGTCCTATAACAACCAATCACTATTGTAGAAAGTTGAAAGAACTCTCCTTATTTCTTCCATCAAGAATGTACGATTGAAAAAGAAAAGAAACAAGACATATTATGAGCTCTCTTTTTCTTCCTTGCTTCATATTTATTGATGCATATTTTCACGAGGGTGTGGGTGTGGATGTTATGAAGAAGAACATGTATACCACACCCACACCCATCCTCTACCATTTTTTAAAAGGGTACTTCTCAAAGTTTTATAGGGCTCCAGAAAAAAAAATAATCATTCAGGATATTTATTTTTCCTTTGCTTCCGAATGAAATGTTTCGAAACTCGATCCAACACTAGAAACCAACGAATGCCCCTAGTAAAGTCTTATGTCCAAATTTGATCCTGTCATATTGCAAAAATGATATCTGAAGTAACGATTTAATGAAAATATGTCGAAATTTCTTCGGAAAACTACACCCTATTCGTATGGAGAGTGAACGAACATTGACAAATGATGAAAGAGAAACTGCAATGTGACGCAATGAAGTGAAATAATTCGAGTTTCATCGATTCTGGAATGAAGACAACGACTTGATTTCGACGACAATTGAACATTTCGGAAGTGAAAACGAGAATCATTGAAGATAATTCAATCGAGATGTGAGCAGACATTGGTAAACGATTGAAGAATTTGACCGAGGTCGAAATATTCGAGCAATTCTTAGAGAAGCTCTACGTTCAACGACTCGAATAATGATGGACCTGTTTTTGTATATTTGAGTAAATAATACAGATAGATTGACATTCTTACCGTTATTTTTAAGTAGAGAATCTCTGAACTCCATGCACATAAATCTTATTGGTTTCAGTATCATCCGTTAATTATATCTAGAAAAAATGCACTGTTACTGACGTGTGTCCTGTGTATACGGGAGAGTTTGACAATGGTATGGTAAAGTCAGCTAAACGTCTTGTTTATCCTGCCGAAATTGAATGTATGACAATGACGATGGAAGATCAATCTGTATAGACAAAGAAACAAAATGCATATGAAATATGTCTTCGTTACTAAGTACAAGATTTATTTTGATTCTGTGAATAAATAAATTCTAAAACTATGGAAAAAATCCAAATATGAGTATTATTTTGACCAAAGTTAGTACTAAATTAAATACGATACCGGACGAGAATTGTGACAATCGTAAACGATTGTAGATTATAAACCTGAGCTATTGAATAAAGAAGCCCTTCAATGATTTTGTTGTGTCTGCAATGTGCTATTTCGAGAGTAGATATCTATGAGATGTAAAGAGATTAAATAGGTTACAATCTAATCCTCAGATACCAGCATAAACACTCACTGCATCAACGATTTTCAATGACAATTTCTTCAAAATGGAATAACTCGAAACTAATGTTTCTGATCATCAACTATAGCTTTGTTGTAATATCGAAATGTCGACCACATTGCCATATATTAGTTTCCATGTTTTTGGGCAATCCGATACATTTGATTGCGAGCTATTGATCGATATGAAATTCAAGCTGATTAGAGATCAATTCAACCCATCAGAAGCAATAAAGTCGAATGTTCTATTGAATCTCTTGAAGTCTGCTATTAAAGACTTGAAAAGAAAACTATTCATCATCATATATCATAAATCATGGTCAAATATGAGAAGATCATCTATGGAGAATTCATCGGAGATCAAATTAAGGGAATTCTACAAGGAAAACATCGAACGTTGTATTAGTTAGATAGGCATATTTAATGATAATACCATCAAGTATCGATTTATAACCATGAGGTTCATATAAAGATTCCGTAATGAACCATACATTGTATTTAAGTTTTTTAGCACAAAATAACATTGGAAATCCATTATGACCCTTTCTAGTCCTAAATTCGAAATTCTGAATGGGCAGTTATACCTCTTAATGACTCTCTCTTCTCCTTTCAGACCAATTTTTACTCGACACTCAATACTGAATCATGAATGTAAGAGATTAAACAATATTGTTGCGAACGTACTTGACTTCATATCATTAAAAGTAAAGAGTGAATAACGACAGTAAAAATAAAAAAAGGAAGAAGATAGGAAATATGACGCATTGCAATTACCAGTCATACTGGGCTGTCAACATATATTTTATCAATGATGTATTAAAACATGAATCAAATGAAATATGTCGTGACCAGTATGCCGCCAAATTAGAAATTTCCATTCTATGCAGCAAGAGTGATATCTAACAGTGCTCAAAACACAAAATCGACGATCACATCGAATTCATTTCAAAACCGTTAGCATTTTTATTGAGAATAATGTCAATGAATAAATTAGCCAGTTTAAACTGCACGGATTTTAATACTTTCCAGAAAAATACATTGTATAAGTGTGATTCAAACGTTATGATTAATGCGACGAACATATTTTTTTTCTCATTCTAAACTAAGAAATGATTCTACAATTGCATGACTTGCCATAATCAAAATGTTTCCGACTTTAGTTTCTTTCCGATAATAGTAAGTCATGGCAATGTAAAATCTTTTTTTTAGCTCAGAATAAGAAAAAAATATGTTCGTCTAGTAAATCATAACGTTTGAATTACACTTATACAATATATTCTTAAGAAAAGTGTTAAACTCGTTCAATGAACGAAGTTTTGCAGCAAACACATACGTCAACAATTCTTGAGAATCTCTCAAATTTTGACCTATGGATATGTTCATAAGAGGAAAAAAAAAAATACATGTGTTCGTGTTTTTTTTCACTATAATATAAGTTTTCTGCATTCATGCGTTTTCTATCGTTGCTATTCAATGAACGTGCAGTAATAATGCCTTTATATTTTGTCGAAATGTCACTGAAGCCATCCAATAAACGTAGAACGGCATTGCATGAGTAAGATATCCGATGAGTATACACACATTACCGATAAGATCTTCTTGTGCTTGACGCAATGTACTCTTCGATGTTGAATTTGTTGATACTATATAGATTTGCCAGATCATATTTGGTATACTCGTAAAAAAGATGACAAGAATTTGACCAATAATCATTCGAGTAATTTGATCATAGAGACGCGTACCACGCAAATATATTGCTTGCTGTTTTCCCAAATTTTCCCAAGTAAGTACACAAAGAATCGATAGAATACTCAATGGTAATATACTGTAATGAAATAAATTGAAATAAGGTGCAAAGTATGCAAATACTGGATTGATAATTGCACAATCTTTTTGATTTGATGCCGTATAATATAAAGCATATGGTGAGAGAACGATTAGCCAAAAGCTTGCAATACAAAAGATGATCCAACGAGCACGTGTGAGTGTAATCAGTCGATGACGACGTATATCGATACATGATACCAAATAACGATCGATAGCAGCAAAACATACACAACTCAATGAGAATGTACCACTTACTGTTCTAAAATACCAACGAATTTTACAGATGATTGTTGCACCGATGAATGTATTGAGAGTTATGAAACCTTGAATAATTGGTAATAATATGCCAGTGATTAACATAATTTCACTACCAAAGAACGATGCAAGTAAGAATTGTGAACTAGCCAATGTTTTTAGACTTTCAAGTCGAACGAATGATACGATATCAAGTAAATTTCCAATAGTTCCAAGAACGAGAATAGTAAGACCAAATGTTATGTAAATAATTTGGGAAATATTTAGAAGTTCGTCCACATCGTCAACATTATTCTCAGTTGTATTCATATTTTCTGTTGTACAAAGATAAAATGACTACTGTTAAGAAGAGTTATAAAGATAGTGATAGATCAAATGAATGCTTGAATTATAGATTATTATCATCTACTCGTTTTGAATCCATTAAGATATGTCATGCAAGCTCATACAACATCCGTTCCTTGAAAATAATCTGACACCTAGAACCTATTGGCTGGTTGTGTTCATAAGAAAAAGAATGCTCATTTTCTTTATATATACAGAGTTCATAGAAAAAAAAAAACATTTTTTTTCTGACCTGGATTTTTGCTTTGCGAATGAATTAGTAAAAATGCGTATTTTTCTCATTGATATGAGAAAGGATAATATTATACATAGCTACTTTTCATTTGTAAACATAAATAAAATGAAATAAAGCGATTAAATTTTTGAAAATCATTTTTTAAAAACTCGATTAATGAAAGTGTATGTGGAAAATAAAATTTTTCAAAAGAGTTTAATTAAAGAATTTATTTTAAAACAAATTACTGCAATTTGTAGACGCTGTGAGTTTATACTGAGTAAATATTTTCTTTAAAAGTATGAGCAAAGGTCATCGATATGGATATAGATAAGAAGAATTTTAATCAAACTTATAGATTTTACTCTATCGATAAGAAGTATTCTGGAAAATAACATCGATTTTGAAACATGTGTGCATGCATTTCAAGATCAACCAGTTTTGGCGTATTACAATTCATTGTACTCTATACTGACTATTTGTTCACAGTCCTGTGTATCATTTGACAATGTTGCGCCTCACATTCATCATCTAATACTCAATGGACATTATTTAAGTCATGAGAAGTAAACGTCTTCATTAATAGAAATTCTATTTCATTGCGTGTGCATAGTAAAACTCAACTAGCTCGACAATCAATCGATTGCCCATGGTTTACTGCGATTTGCACAGAACGTCCAGGAATTATTTCTTACTGGTTATCAACATGATTATTCGATCTTAATGAACAGTAACAAACAATTCGATTGTATCCGCCAACAAATATATACTATAACTGTCGAAGACTATCAGATTTCGGAATGGCAAACAATAGATGACAATCTGAAAGAATTTTTTCCTCAAGCACATATCGTATTTGTCTAACATGTGAAACCACAGATCGGTTAGTCCTATTTCTATCAGAAGAAAATCTAAGGTATGCGAAACTTGTAGATTTATTCGACTGAGTACTTGTTGATTTATATTAATCAATAAAGATTTGAAGATCCTCAGCGTATAGCTTCAAATATTACTATGGATTGATTTTATGTTGAGAATTAATTATTTCATTCTCAAACAGAACCAATTAATTATTTTTGTATGAATGCAGTATAGCAAGCCGTAGAACAGGCATAGACATGATCTTTTCAACATAAGTTCTATTATTCGATCCCGAACACGAGGTGATCATTTTTTTTATTGTATCTTATCAAACGAACAGCAATTGAAGTTGCTCTAACCATCATAATAATTGCTAAAATTTTATCAACATTTGACGAATAGATACTGTAGTTCTAAGATATTGCCGAACACAAATCGGTGAAACTTGTATATGAGAAGAGATTCATAGTATTCGAGCAAAGAGATCGCCTATCAAGGATAGAAGTCGTCAAATGAATATTCAAATTTCAATAATCGAATACTGGAATTTTGTAATTGGATCCGATCCTAGGATAGATGTGGTTGTTCACTTGAGTGTGGGTGCAGTTAGAGAGAAGACCCTCATCCATGTCCACACACTCACACTAGAGTCCTGCGGAACAGTCTCGAATCCCGAAAAGTCTCATTTCTCCCGTTCTGCGGAACAAACGGAATTCGGGACGCGAAAAGGATTGTCCTGCAAATCTTTAACCCACACCCTAGCAAGTGAACGTGACACGAACAGTATTCACAAAACTACGTCAACACTTGTGCTCTTGTGGCGTAAGCGGCTAGCGCATCCGGCTTCGAACCGGAGGATTGATGGTTCGAATCCATCCAAGAGCTGTTCTCTATTTTTTTTTTGAATGTGAATGTGCTGAAAAAAAATTATGCAATACCTTATTGCGAGAAGAAATATTTTCCTACGAACGTAATTGCATCACATAAGTATTTTATTATCGTTGTGTTTCCTTCCGTACTACTAGTTGTTATTACAAAAAAAGATACTCTATGAAATGACTTACTCGTATATCTCTGCCAGTATGTGACTGTCAACATAACTCAAGTTAGAAATAAAACACGGAAATATATTCAACAGAATTAATTTTTAGTTCGTTCTTTGAATGAGGTATTTCATGATTACTAATGAGTCGAAAAAAATATGATGTATTGCTCTTGGACGGACTCGAACCGTCAATCCCCCGGTTAAAAGCCGGATGCGTTATCCAGTTTCGCTACAAGAGCATGAACGAATAATAATGACAAGGTCATTGAATAATACAGATCGGACACGAAAAGCTATTTGAAGTGTGCATGTGCATGGTTAGATGGGTTAACTGAAAACACACAATCGTACCAGTACACGCATTTATACTCACGTCTCTTTTTTTCAAGTCACAGTAATGAGTTCTACGAAGTCTCGGACCTGTGAGTGCAATTCGATCACTGGAAAGCTTCTCGTAATGGTCATGTTTCGTTTTAGATCATCACTTATGCTTCCAACTTTTGTCAAAGGTATTCCCGAGTCCTTTGCAGGAGACATTATCAACCCCATTAACGCCAAATGAAAAAATTGACGAATCAAGACATGCTAATTGTCATAAATCGTACAATGATCATGAAAAAGTGCACGAAATTTGACTTAGAAGGAAATAATATGTATATCGATAGAAAGTATCTCTTTTCTAGCTAAAATACTGAAGAACAACAAAACATTGATAGGATTGAAGCATGCTAAGAATCGCATTTCAAGTAATGATTCGAAAATTTTGATAGAAACGCTACTGAGTAACAACTTTGCTCTCATATATCTTGGTCTCGGCTTAAATAGAATGATACATGAAGCAAACAAAAACTTGTTTCTTTAATAAGAAGTCAACGAAGTCCAATCTATTCGACACGAGTAAGTCGAAACTTTCGCTGTTGGTTCAATCAAGATGGTTCTACAATATCACAGCGCAACACTGAATGTTTAAAATAACAAAAATGATAATTTTCGTCACAATTATATTCTTGTTTCATTTTACAATAGATCCTCCACTTTTTGAGAATATTCATCGACGAACCGACTTATTCTAACTCTTCGAAGGGTGGAGTGTGGATGAGCCGAGTATCAAGAGATATATCCACGTCTTCATGAATAGAGATCTAACATCTCATCTTTATATAACTTAAATAAATAGGTGCATATGTGCTTTTTTTAATGGAGCCAATGAACATTACTTGAAGAAAATTACTAATATAAATAGACACTACAGACTACGAAACGAAGAAATGGAGAAGACAACTACTATTCTTTGTTAACGATCATCTTTGATGTAAATCAATCAATGAAACCTTCATGTGATTATGTTGCTTTATAATGACGAAAGAAGTAATTATGAACTGAATATGTTAGAAAGGATTCGATTCGATTCGATTCTATAACAACAATATTCAATTCGAAATCGATTCGAATCGAATTATTCGCTTATTGTTAAACTGTTCTGAAAGTGTTCAATAATCGACAGAAATATTCGATTTGGAATCAAATATTCTGACTGTATATGAAAGTATCAATAACTATTCATCTTATAGTCTTTGTAATTTATATCGCTCTCGCTCCTGAAGTAGATGCATGATGAACACATTTACATTATTTATATTCATTTCATCGCCGTTTGATGTTCTGATTTTTACATTCTTGAATTGCCGAAAAAGAAACTTTATTTGACACTCATCAAGGAGAAACGCTAAGAGAATTTAGCATAACTTGATGGAACTGATCAGTTCGATTCAAATTGAAAATCGAAAGTAGAAATGATTTGACATTAAAATAAATAATTGTCGATGAGCAAAACGAGTGTTCACTGAATGATATTTATTTGCCTCGACAGAGAGAATATCAGTTGAACTAGTAAAAAGATCGATTCTTTGCTTCAGTGAAAAGTATTTGGCATTGTTTAGAATAAAATTCATTCAGACGTTAAACACACAAAAATAATCAAATGGGAATGATGTAATAAGAATTCTTATTGCAAAATTGCCTTCATTGATGCCAATTGATGTAGACTAAACGAAAACATATGAAAAATTGATTGAATGAGGAAGTTTATAACGTATCATAATAGTCAAATGTCTTGTTCTCTATTTACCATAGGAACGAATAATGAATAATAGCATGCAAGTAAAGTAAAATATTTACTAGGTGACTCATATTTGATCCCATGTATTCAATCGCAATCGTTTCGAATATAATTGGAACAAAAAAATTAGACATGTTTAGTGTATTTTTAGTAATTTTGATCTTCTTACCAATAGGAACAAACAAGAAAAAAAAAATTATAGATTTCAAAAAGACTGGACAAGTTGGGAGTTGAACCCAAGACTTTTCGCATGCAAAGCGAACACTCTACCGCTGAGTTACAGGCCCATGTGAGAAGGATTGTAAATTTTCGAATGTTGATAGAATCGTTGAGTTATGATAGTTCTACGAGATGTGTATGCATATTTCCATAAAAACTGAACTTGGTCTACATTGGAAAAATCATATACTTTTCGGGTTTGAAACATCTAACATGAATCTCTTAAACGAATGATCAGTCGAAAAATTTGTGAGTGACAGAAACTATAACTCGCACACAAGTAGATTATTCTATTTCCTATTTCGGCTAGATGTAATTTGTGTCTTCTGATCACTGACAATCAGTCACTACCTTCT